TGATAGCAAAATAAATATTTTCTAAACTAGCTTTCTCCGATTACTATAAAAACAATATGTCAAATTGAACGTAATAAAAGTCAATGCTCCGAAAGTTATGCTACAAAATGCTGCACGCTGAACCTTTGTTCCAGCTTCAGTAGTATTCACATTAACAGCTTTCAATGTTCGTTTAAACTGGAACTACTAAAGTTTTTGCTTGACGCTTTTTCAATAAAAAACGGTACCCAAACAAAATCCAACAGAAATTAAGTTGCATAATAATTTCGCAAAATGTCCTTTGCAGCTTCCGGGAAAATGGGAAATTAAATCCGTTCGCCTTGCAACGGCAAGTTTTGCGATAAATATGTACTTAGTCATTGCGAAAGCGACTAATAATATTTTAATATTGCAGAAAGCACTTACAAGCGCAACAAATATGCACGAACAGTTTGGGCACAGCGAGAGCAGGGTGAGCGCGAGAGCAAGAGACCGGCGGAAAGGAATAGTGTAAGCTCCGAGCAAGCGTTGAAGACTGATATGCTAATGCAGATAAATATTTTGTAATGTACACTTGAAGCTTTTAAATCAACATTGCTGGAGCGCGGCAAGGCAGCGGCAGCTGGCGGCAGTGGTGATGCTGCTAGGTGACCTACAACAAATAGGCCACAACACAAGCGCCTGCAGGTCGAGCGACTGACTACGTTGGTTGAAGAAAGCGAAAGTTAGTGAATTCTCGAAAATATGCCATGGCGAATGCACTTGGGAAATTGAAATGTTAATGGAAATGGAAGATAAAGTGACCTGCAGGTAGCAGCTGAGCTGCCGAAGCGGCTAGAGGTCGAGCAAATAAGGAAGGGTGCGAGTGAGACTTGAACTGATTTCAGGTGGCACCTATTCCAGGTTGATCGGCAGCTGGTCGTCTGGCAGCTGTAGTGGGCGACAGACACAAGTGTGTAAATAGCTACGAGTAATTCAATTGCCAGCAGCAAAATATAAAAACAACAAGTGCATTGTTTAAAGTGGATTATCTCATTGCCACTGAGCAAAGAGTCGACGGTTTGAGTGGGTGGGGTTCGCTGTAGTTTCAATGGCAGCTTTTATATGCCACTTTGCATATTCAAGTACATCTATCTTCATGTCTGTCATCAGAATGGCATTAATTTGCTGCCATCACCAACCCCTCTCACACTTGAAATGATAGTGCTTCCTTTGGGGAGATTATTATCTGTCGCTTTGATTTGCTTTCTTTCACTGGGGTAATTTCAAGCATGCATCGGGCTAATTCAAGAGCAACTTCATTAAAAATATAGTTTTGTACATTTGTATGTGTGCGTGGATGTGCATTTGTGTATGTGAGCATATGCTCCTAATGGTCATTGGCAGATAAGAGATTTTATCTTTTTCTTGATATTTGGCATTTAATTCGAGATTTTGAATGACTGATGCATTTCTCCGAAAGGTTATCACATATACATATAAATAAATGAATATGAGGTACTGCACGTATGGAAATCAAAGCGAAGAGTGCTAAAACAGCTCATAAGATAAACTTTTTACTGAAACATATTAGGTTGGTCCAAAAAAGAACTTTAAATAGAAAAAAACCGCATTTAATTTAAGATCATTTTTTTTAAAACATATTTGGGTGATTAAAACGCACTTTTAAAAAAAAAACAAAAAAATTTGTAAAATGTATGTACAGCCATGGTCACGCAAATAGCACACTTACTCGTAAGAAGCAATAAGCGTTTCTGCAATTGACAATTTTTATTTTTAACATTAAAAAGGGCTTAAAATGCGATTACTTATTTATTAATATACCCATTTAAGTAAAAAAAGCAAATAGAAATTCACGAATAATTAGTATTAATTGAAAAACTTGAACTCCCTCTAAAATGGATTGGTCACTCAAATAGCACATTTTTTAGAAAGTGAAAATTTGTTTGCAAAAAAATTATAAGGAGTTAATTTTTATTACTAATTAAGGTTGTCTATTATAAAGTGATTTAATTCGAGTGGAAATGGGCCGTGGTAAGCACTGTAGTGCTGAAAAAAAGACGCATTATGCACAATATGAAAAAATCTGGGAAAACTGTTCAGAAATTGCTGTTTTATTGAATTGTTTCCGGAAAATGGTTTATAGTGGTGTTCAACTCATAAAAGCTAACGAGATCTATTTGACCAAAAACAAAAAAAAACTAAACCACCGCGAACAACAACAATTACTGAAGATAGAGCCATAGTCTGGAGAAGTAAGGCCGACCCTTTTAAGTCTTCATGACAAATAATACAGGAAATCAATGAAGAATATGGATTAAATACATCGCGGAAGGCTATTGGAAGACGTTTTATGAGGTACAACTTTTTGGCTGCCAGAGTAAAAAAAAAAAAAAAAAAACACTTCTGTCAAAACGGCACATCCAAAATCGGCTACATTTCGCGAAAACACATAGGGATAAGGACCTTATTTTTGGGAAAAATGTACTAAAAACAGATGAAACCAAAATTAATAGAATGGTCCTGATAGGAAAAGTAATGCTCATCGTCCTAAAGGTCAATCGTTGAATTCCAGGTGCACAAAACGGATGATAAAATACGCAGGCGGAAATATAATGATATGGTACCTTTTCCTGGCATGACGTGGGCCCAATATATCCCATTTAGGCGAAAATGGATCGGTACAAATATTTAGACATATTAAGGAATGAAATGAAATCATTTTCTTTCAATTGCATGCTTCTTCGCTGTACTTTTGTGCAGGATAACGACAGTAAGCACACAGCCAGAATCACAAAGCATTGACTTAAGAAAGAAACGGATAATTGTTTTGGATTAGCCAGCTCTAAACCCTGGCCTTAATCCAATAAAAAACTTATGTAACGATGTTAACCTTAAAATTGCTACTAAGAATTATACAAATTTTGAGGATTTTTTGGAAGGTATTAAGGAATCTTGGTACTTCATCCCAAAGAAGATATGCGAGAAGCTTGTAGAAAATAGGATATGCGGATGTGATGCCATAATTGAAAATCTGGAATATAGAACCAAGTATTAGCAACGTAAGCATATTATGGCACCAAATCGTTGATTAAATTTCACTGATTTCACATGAATTTTGCAAGTATGGTAAAACGTGCTATTTGGGTGACCAAGGCATTTTAGAGGGTGTTCAAGTTTTTCAAATAATACTAATAATTTGTGAATTGCTATTTGGCTTTTTTTACTTAAATGGATAAATTAATAAACAAGTAATCATATTTTAAGCTTTGTTTACTCTTTTAAAGATCTTTGTCAATTGTATTAGCGCTTATTGCTTCCTATAACTAAGTGTGCTATTTGCGTGACCACGGCTGTATGTATGTAAATAAAAAAGTACATTTTCAAAATATACTAAATTATTTTTTAATTATTCAACTTTTTTTAATTGTTTCAAAATTTTTTTTTTTAAATTTCGTTTTCAAAATTTTTCAATGTTTTTTTTCAAAACTTTTTCAAAAATTTTATTTTTTAACTTATTAAAGTATACTTGTATTTATAAATATTGTCATTTTGCAACATAGGAAATTTTTACTGTTACACAAGTGGAATTTTTTCCCAGTTTTAAATATGTACTTATGTAAGAACCTTTTGACCTTGACCTTTTGACAAAAACTTGAAAAAATGTATAAAAAAAAAAAAAAGATGTATAAAAACATACACAAGGCACGAATGTATGTGTGTATATTAAACATATTTCACTAAAAGAACGCCTGAAAGTATGCTTCGAAGTAACATTTCGAATAGCTAAAGCAGCTTGTAAAACATTGGAAAATTTACAATATTTTATACCGAATATTTGGAGTAAAAAGTTAAACATATCTCATCAAAAGGTAAATCGCCTAAAAGTACGCCTTGCGCCAAATATATTTATACAAACATTAAGCATATTCTAACATTTCATATACAGTTTTAGGCTAAAATATTTAAAAAATCTCACCTCTAAAACAAAAGCGCAATTGTTGTTTTTGTTGCTTTTTATTTTATTTTAATAATACAGCTAAACATAAAGAAGTATGAAATATTTTTAAACTTGATTCAAGGCAAAAAATGAAAATGTATGTGCTTAGCGCCAAAAGGTATACCTCAAAAGTTAAAATTTCTAATGATTTAACTAATTTATTTTAGCTCAAACAGAAATATAATAATAATTTATAAATTAATTTAAGCAAAAAAAACTTTAGTACCAGGCAAAGCGCCTAAAACTATATCAAAAACATGACTTTTATGTATTTAGCGCCTAAAGGTATACCTTAAATTTGCAAAATTCAAATTTATAACTGTTAACTAATTTATATTTACACAAAGAAAAATATGAAAACAAAGTATGCTTTAATTGACGTAAAAAGAAACTTCAGTTCCAGGATTTGGCAAAGAGCCTAAAAATTTAGCAGAAAGTAAAATTTCCAACAGTTAAATTGGCATGTGTAAGAAAAACATTCCCATTTTCTCAATTTTCTAATTTCAGAATTAATTATAAAACAAGCAAAGTAAACTAAACTAAAATAAAAAATGTCAAACTCAGAACGCCTAAAAGTATAGCACGAAGTAAAAATTTTAAATAATAAAATTAATTTGTCGCTTAATCCGTTTAATATTAAAATAAAATTTATGGTATATGATATATGGTATATTAAACGGCGCAACACCTAAAAGTATGCTTCAATGAAATTTTAAAAATTAATAAGCACATTTTTTAGGCGCAGTATGAAAATATTCGCTTTGATTTTGCAGTTTTTAAAACATAAATTGTGTGTAAAAAATTAAAGAACGTATGAAAATCAATTGAATTTATTATATACATGCAAATACATGCAACGATTTATTTAAACTTCATGCTTTTTGATGCACGCAGTCACGCTATGCTGAAGAAACATCTGCTGTTAATTCGAGCTTTATTTCAAATGAAAAATCGCCTTATATACGTATGTATAACTGGTTAATATTTTTTTATTAAGTGTAATAGAAAATTGTGTACTTACTAGTACTATTTGTGGTGGTAGTTATGAAACTATTTTGCTGAAACTTACCTGAAAAGAGAGAGAAGAGAAGAGATAATGAGTTTCAATATATAAAGATACAATATTTTTTATATACATAATAAAAAGAGTATATTAAGAAAGAAAATGATTAAAAAAATGTAATAAAATAAATACATATATAAATATATAAATTAGCGTGACAAGCTGAGTTGATTTAGCCACGTCCATCTGTCTGTATATATGCAAGTTATTTGCTCAATATTTCAGATATGAATCTGAAATTTTGCACACACTTTTTGCTTCACAAGCAGCTGCTCATTTGTTGAAAACGCAGATATCGGCTTACTTTAACATATAGCTGTCATACAAACTGTACGCTCGGGATCAAGTGTTTGCATGGAAAACTTTTTTATTTTACGAGATATATTCACAAAATTTGGCTTGAATTTACGTCAACGGGAAAACTATAATATCTGAAGAAATTTTTCAGATCGAACCACTATAGAATATAGCTGTCTTATAAACTGAACGTTGAAAATCGAGCCCTTTTAAGGAAAACTTTTTTATTTGACGAGACATCATAACGAAATTCGGCATCAAATACTGTTAAAGGCTATGCTACAATATCTAAAAAAAAGATATTTCAAATCGAGCGACCATAGCATATAGTTGCCATACAAAGTGATTGATCAAAATCAAGTGCTTATATGGAAAACCTTTTTATTTTTTGAGTTATCTTCACAAAATTTGGCTTGAATTATTGTCAACGGGAAGGCTATAATGTCTGAAGAAATTTTTCAGATCGAACCACTATAGAATATAGCTGTCATACTATACAAACTGAACGATCAAAATAAAGCTTTTCTATAGAAATTATTTTATTTGTGTTAATCGTTTTTTTTATTGTTTTCATTACAAAGAAAATACATTTTAAGAAAAAAAAAATAGCATTAAAAATACATTATTTTAATAGCATGCGCCTGAAGGTATGCTGCGCAACACAAGGTAACACAACTAAAAGCAGGAAAAAATTTATTTTCACAACTCAATTTTCTAATGTTTCCAACACTTCAACTCAAGTGTGCAACGAATCATGGAGCGCCTGCTCTATTTGTGCGCAACTGCCGCATATATGTATGCTTGTATGTGTGTGTGTGAATTGCGCCTACAATTGCATGTGTTTACTCGGCCGCTGCTGTGGCACACTTGACCCAATTGCCAACGAAGTAAGCGCGTGGGCATAGATGAGAGTATAATGTGTGCACGGAAAAGCGGGAAATTCTAGAATGAAAGAAGACAGCCTTGCCACAACGTGTGTCTAAAGTAGGAGGCGCTTCCATTACAGAGCTGCCACGCGACAGACAGCTAAGCTGCAATGATTGCAATAACTGCTTGCACACAAACGCTCATACAAACACATGCATATACGACATATGCGCATCCAGATTGCTGGTTGTTGTTGTTGTGCAAGTACACATTAGCGCTGAAATGGCAGTGGGTGGAGTTGCTGTCAAGTGCTTTTCACTCCACATATTTGTCATTACGAACGGATTCATCTTCATCGGGTGCGCCGCGTAGCGACACCGCGCTGGATGAGAAGCTGTATGTGTGTGTTTGTGTGCGTGAATATCAAAAGAGTTGTAAAGATATCAAACTTCCTGCATAAGCTTCAGATGCATTCCTGCATTAAGCAGCAAAACTCAACGACACACATATACACTTATACATGTGGCATAAGTAGCATATATGCATATGTGCGTATGTGGTGGAGGAGGTCATATGCCAAGCGTCAAGGAAATCACCTAATCTCTGTAATCGGCTTTTTTCTATTTTCAAGTACATTAAATCCGAGTCACCAGCTGTTGACAGCTGGCGTTTCATTCAAATTGCATTGCATAGCGCAGCGCAAAAGACTTCAAAGTATTGAGTAGCGAAAAAAATTGCCAGCATTGTGCCAAATAGTGTAGTTTGATCGCCTTTATATAGGCAGGCATTCAGAAAACGTATTTGTAGACTGTATAGTTGACCTTCGGTAGTCTCTTAAAGGTTTAAATTGTGTTAATTGCCTTATCAAGCATACGCTCAAGCACGCGCGAACAAGTTTCGAGCTTAACAACAGTAGCGCTGTTCTCAAATAATTTAATAATTAGCGTGTAAATACGTTTAAGTAGAGAAAATCCAATAATTAGCATTATTTTTAGAGCTGAAGCATAGTAACAAGCAGCAAGATTTAGTGTTAATTTGTAATTTGAGCAAATTTCATGCCCTGAAGCTTGTTTTCAAGTCAAGTAGTCTTTCAAGCAACAAAAAGTTACTATATTTTGAAAAATTTAAGAGTTTAATAGTTTTAAATGGAGATAAACCGAAACTAGCAAATTTTTTATAGTTCAAGCGTGGTATCAAGCAAAGAAGATTGAGTATTAATTTGTTACATTTGAAATTAACACTAAAAATAGCAGAAAATCGTAAAATAAAATTGTATACGCAGATTGTAATCATTCAAGCATGCTTTCAAGCAACAAAACATCACTTAATCTTGCAAAAATTGACAAAGAAAAATAGTCGAAGCAGCTTTTTAAATTCAAGCATGCGTTTCAGCATTCAAGCAAAGAAAGTTTACCTAATTTTGCAAAATTTTGGAATTGTATACCCGAAAAGTATGCATAAAAATTAATGAAGTATAGCGCAGCAAGTTTCGAGCATTATAAAGTACCATATGAAGATTTTTATTATGCAAGCATGCTTTCAAACAGCAAAATGCAACTTAATCCGGCAAAAATTGATACTAAGTTAATTTGGCGTAACAGAAAATCGCAAAGCAAAGTAGTCGGCGCAGCTTTCTATAATTCAAGCATGCGTTCAATCATTCATGCAAACACATTTTATCTAATTTTGCAAAATTTTAGATTTTATACCCGAAAATTATGCACAAATCTCAAATTAAATACTGAAATAATATTTGAAGTATTTTACAGTCAAGCATAAACAAGCATATCACAAACCAGCTTGTTTAAGCTCTCAGAAAATTTTACTAAATACATTAGAAATTGAAGTGATTATACATAAATATTTTACCTTTAATTACATAAAACCAGTGTTCAAGCATAGCGCCTGCAGTTCAAGCATTTGACAAAATGTACTAAAAATACTCTAAATAATCCCACCGAGCATATTTGTGGTTGCAAATCTTTCGAAGGCTTATTGCATTATCAATGATTTGAAATTAGTGTTCAAGCATAGCACTTGCAGCTCTCGGTGCGAAAAAATACACAAAACGTTTGAGTTGAAGAATTTTAGAGTAATTTTAAGTACATTCAATCTTTTCAAATCAGCGTACAAGCATAGCGCTTGCTATTCAAGCATTTGTAAAAACGCACAGAAATTCTCCAAATTATTCCACCGTGCACATCTGTTGTTGCAAAATACTTTTTTTCTGCTTTAAATAAGCACTAAAGCTTTTAAGCTTCCATTTTTTGTCCCTTTAAGCTTGTAGAACGCTTTGACCTTTTTTGTGGCTTGCGCTAGTTTGTTATGCATTTTTAGGCTCTTCAAACCCACGAAACCCTACAACACATACAACAACATACGTGTTGAATGTAAGTATGAAAGATCAAGCCGTTTTTCGAAAGCTCTCAAAGGCCGCTTCCAGTCACTACTTCAGCAGGGCACTACAACGCTAATGAGTTTCAACACCTAGCGAGTTAAAGGGCAAATATAAATGCTTGTGCATATGTATCACACATGAGCTATGAAATAAGTATATACAAATGCATACATATAACACTTATGCCGAAAGCTCATAAGCTGCGGTTAGCCGCCTGCTTTAATCCAACATAAAATATGCACATGAACTTTCTTTACAAATGCTACACTTCAATTCCTTTTTTTTTTTGGCGCACACATTTAATTTAAGTTTTTATTTAACTTAGAGAGTGTTGGCAAAGATAAATATAATTTTCTTCAGCTGTTGTAAGAATGTGAAAGCTTTTTCTGTTTTGTCTCTCTTAAACAAAAGTAAAATTTTCACCCTTTACATCTATTTAAACATACCGCCCCCCCTTCACCAACCACTTCGTCACCTTCATAAGTGAAAAGTTTTAAGAAAGTATGGAGGCATAAGTACTTTTTAAGGTTATTTGGGGGTAAGCTTTCGCTGCTCGCACATCTATGTATACATTGTATGTGTACTTTTGTTCGTTTTTAAGTTTTTGTAGCACTTTTTAATTTAATTTTTTATTGCAAGCATCTCAAATATGCCCGTTAATTCATCACTTTGATGCCGCAAATGTCTTTTGCAACACTGGCAATGATTTACGGCGTTAAGTGAAACGTTTTTTTTCTCGGGGACAAAGTGTTGGAAATAAGAAAGTTGCATGCGAAGCTAGGCAGCTGTGGCGCTAAAAAATACTTGAGAGCGCTCAAAGCAGCTAGCATATTACAAAAAAAAAAACAGCTGAAAAAATTAAAACTGAACAATAAATGCAACTCTTGCCTACTTTTGGGTGCAAAGATAATTTTTTTTTTTCTAACTAATTCTGAGAAGGCGCGAGAATGCATAAATAATTCAAATATTAATGGATGAAATGGAAGTTTTCGAATAATTAAGTGCATGACGTACTAAAAAAATACGCATACATACATAAATATAAGCAWGTATTTACATCTACTTTAGTCTCCATTTGCAACTTGCGTTTTTTTCGGATTCTTTTTTGCAGAATCGCCATCAGGACCTACGAAAAAAAGTGACTGGCGACGAGGCAGATTTTTGTGATAAAAATTTATCTTTTCATCATTTTTTAATTTCTGTTTAATTTAATTTTTTTTATTTTAATTTTTTAAATCTAATTTTAGTTTTAACCTGTCTCTTATACACATCTAGATGTGTATAAGAGACAGATTTTAAAACTAACGAAAATGAACGAAAGACGAATCAAAACTTAGGAAAAATGTGGATTTTTTTTTTTTTTTTTTTGTGAAAAATGTACACCTTGGAATGGCGTAAAAAGCGATTCTGATATGACAAATATATCATAAAAATTTCAAACCAA